CCTACTTAACAGGGAAGAATCAGAAGCTATCAGATGGGAATTCCCTCAGTCCCCAAAACCTATACATCCCCCTATATCCACCCTCTCCCATTACTCCTTCACTCCAATTTGTATGAAAGACAAGCCTATCCATCTCTCATATTTTACATCCCATGGCATCCCATAGTCACAGAGGTCTCACTCTGCCAACTAGATTTTTTTCCGTGAAAAGTATTTAAACATGCTCAGTTTCAACTATGTAGAAAGAAACAAGCAAAAACTCTCAGGTCTCTCTCTGGTTACCACACTCTCAACATCCTCTGTGGAACTCTTGATTTACATAGAAAGCCATTTTTCCCCCCTTCTTCCTTGAAAACAGAGCCTAACTCCCAGCATAAAAAACAAACAAAAAAACAGATGTCCACTTCCAGAGACTCCCTTGCAGCTGAGGGAAGAGGTATGAGTGTTTAGGCCAACTCAGAGTGGTATGAGTGTTAGAGCAACTCTGCTGGGGATGTGTAAGGAAGATTTCCTCTCTGATGAAAAGAGAAAGGCATATAAGAACAATCCCTTTAGATGTGAAGACGTGATATTTGGAAGATGTTTCGAACATCTTATGACCATAGGGATAGCCAAGAGCCTCCCAGAAGTCAACCAGAGCCTAAGCTTGTCACCGCCTGCCTCTGGCTTCTTGGGATGTGTGTGTGTGTGTGTGTGTGTGTGTGTGTGTGTGTGTGTGTGTAGGTGTGTAGAGTGGGAGAGCCTCTATTACATAATTATTTTTATACTCAAATTATTACTTTTATTTGAGTATTCCCATGCCTACAGCTAAAAACATTTTTATGTCAAGATTCTTTAAAAAGGTCTATATAGACATACAGATTACATCTACTTCCTGGCCTCCCACATTTGCCTTGGCTCATGGAAATCCAGTCTACACACACTTTTCTGTGAGTATTCTCCCAGGAAGTTTCCAGTGAGGACTTACTGCAGAATGCAGGGACATTTTCAGGTCTTCTCCTCTATGGCCTCTTGGGAGCACCTCGAGTTAAAACCCCTACAAATAGACTTTATTATAGCTCTTCTTTTCCTCTGCACAGCTCTCTCACATTATCCCTCAGGGTCCTGGTCTTGGTCTTTTTCTTATCTCACTTTGCAAGGGCTAATTATCCACATCTGTGTCTTCAATTAATAGCTCTATACTACTTTCCCACACCTATGTACACTGACTCCCACAATTTAGCAAGAGATGAACAATTTAAAAGCTATTTTTAAAGTTAACATAAATAACCCTGTTCATTTCAGGTGAGACTTAACTGTCTGTCTGTACACTAGAGCTGTCTTGGTAGGGGTCAGTGACTCTCAATTTTGGATGGAGTTAAAAATCCTTGGGGAGTTATTGAATAGCTTGGGTCTGGCCACATCCCAGACCCAGGCAGTCAGAATCCCTGGTGATAATACTCAGGCCACAGTATTTTTTAAAACTCCCCAGATGATTCTGGTGTGCAGCAAAATACAGCACCACTAAGTAAACCTGGAGTTCTACTCAGCTTCAGCTCCATCCTCTGGCAAGTCAATAACACAGACTTGAGCACAGACTTTGGATCCTGGCTTTTCCCCTCAGTTGCTTAACCCTATGAACCTGTATTTTTACTTTATTTTCCTTTTTTTTTTTTTTTTT